TGCAATCTGTGACGTGATAAGGGAGATTGAAAGATTTGCCCAACCCAGAGACGGAGGAAGGGATCAGCAGTGTAACTTTCAGTGTGGAGGTCAGTTCGAGGACTGAAAGTGGCCCGGCTGAGGAAGTAAAAAGGAAACAAGCCACTGGAAGATGGAAAGAAACTGAGCTTTATAGGGAAACACAAAAATTGACTGATAGTTGACTGTGAAGAAGTTAGATGTTGACTACAGGACATTATCAAAGGTTTGGTTGAGTGGTTGAAAAAATAGCAAACCCAGAGAAATGCTAGGTTATGCATTTGGGTAGGGAAAACAAAGCAAGGGAATTCACAATAAAGGGAGGATGCCGAGAGGGGTAGAGGAAGTGAGAGGCTTTTAGTGGCATGTCTACAGGTCCTTGAAGGTGACAGGACTCTGGTTATAGTAGCAAAGAAGGCATATGGGATCTATTCTATTGGATGAGGTATTGAACATAAGAGCATGGATATAATACTAGAACCAAAGAAGACACTAGTTAGGCAACCCCTGGAGTTTTATGTATAGTTCTGGTCACAGCATCACGGGTCGGGCATAATTCCTGTTAACAGAGTATGGAGGAGATTTACAAGAACATCCCCAGAGCTTGAAACTGTAGCTTTGAGGAAAAATTGGATGGACTGGGGTTACTTTCCTTCATACAGGGAGATTAAGGGAGTGAATTAATTGAAGTACACAAAGTAATTGAGGGACTTGGAGAGATTGAACAGGGAAGAACTGCTTGCCTGAGCGGAGATGTCAATTACTGGAGACTGACAGATATAAGGTGATCGGTAGAAGGATCAGATGGGATAGGAGGAAAATATTTTCGCCCAGGGAGTCATTGAAGCCTGGAATCCACTTTCCATTTTGTAGGAAACCTTCAATGCATTAGAAAGGAACCTGAATCTGTACCTGAAACACTGGAACTGCAATGCTGCAGAGCAGGCACTGTGTTGGATTAAAATGGGCAGCTGGTTTATTCAGCTGGCACAGGCATAACAGGCTGAAACGTCTCTTTCTGTGCTGTAACCTTTCTATGTTCTAGGCTTTTATAAGAACCATATTCCTAGGGAGTGTGACTAGCCACTAAGAATAATTTATTTTTATGGTTTAAAGTACAAGCTGCCTCTGACATTTATTGAATAGCATTTTTAGTCATTTCTTAGTGTAAAAGTATTTTAAAATATACAATGTCAACATGTCATTCTTTCAACTAATAACTGAAAGTTCAAATTTCTCTTTAAAACTTGTTGGTCTCTATGGAGATTGTAATAAAATAAGTGGGAAAGGTTTGTGTCTTATCCTGATCATTACATTCGGAGTTCCCATGTCGGAGATAGAATCTCACATGGAACAGCATATGTACTGAACAGGGAAGGAAAGGAAAGTTATGACTATTGCTCATCTATTCAATTAATGTGTGAACTGTTAATGATTCTCACAATGTCAATCGTATTTTCTTGTAAAGGGATAAAATACAGTCATCCAGCAGAAGGTTATACAGCTAGTGCACTTGTAAATTAACACCGAGTGTCACATGCTCACAACAACTGACACATTCTCACTAATTTTGTCACCAGCAATCTTACTTTCATAGCAATGACTTGTACTATTACCAAAATTCCCTCAAATATCACAGATAGAAATGCATTGAAAATGTCTGCGAAATCACTCCACCTCCACCAAAATACAATGCACAATTACTGTTCATTGTCTACACAGAGTCAAGCTTTTAAGTCAACTATTTACTCAACACTTAAGCTTTTAACATGTCAGATACATCGATATATCACGACAGAGGAGCTGTTCAGTTACAGATCTCTCATTTCTCACTTTTGTTCTCAAAGTGACATTGTTCTTACATATCTAGCAGTAATTCTTTAAAAGGTTGTGATTCAGCCCAAGTAATTTGTCATGAATTATAGAGGAAATCCTTCCACTTGAACTTCTGGCAATTAGATTTGTCTTGTTGATGGTCAGACATTGTGCAGATTTGTATCCGACAACAATCCCAACAGAATTTTTGAAAGCGAGCATCTCACACGGGTCACCATAGTATGACAGTGAGCTATGAAATTTCCTCTTGAAACCTCTGTCTCTTCACTTCTCTCCCTGCTCCTTGAAGGCTCTTAAAGTCTACATTTCTGATCAGCTATTGTTCAACTATTCCAATTCTTTCGGTCAGTGTCAAGTTTTGTCTATCCTCTTGCAAAATGTCTCTTTACTGCATTATGCCTGCTATATCAATTCAAGATCTTTGTGTTTTGGAGCCTACACTATGAAAAAAAATCTCCTTGGCAAACAAGCACTTTGGGGACGCTGAGGTCGTGAGTGGCAAGATTTTCTTATTTTAGTTTTCACTCCTGACATTATAGCTTTAAGTATTAGAAATGTTATAAAGGGAAAAAAAAATTCTTTTTGTTTTGCATGCCATTTACCTTCTTGCACCAAATCCATCACTGCTTCACTTCACCCATCTCAGCCATACATTATCACTCACATCGCACTGTGTACACTTTCTTCACCGAACAACAATCAACCTCTGGCTGAACTTAAAATCTCTTTGCAAGTGATGTAGAGTATCAGAGTCATCGAGTAATACAGCATGGAAACAGGCCCTTCAATCTGGTCCATGCTGACCATGTTGCCCACTCAGCTCGTTCCAGTTGTCTGCATTTGGTCCATATCCCTCTAAAACCTTCTCACCTTATCATACCTATCCAAATCTTTTTTAAATGTTGCCATTGTACTTGCCTCAACCACTTTCTCCAGCAGCCCATTCCATATACGCACCACTCTCTGCATGAAGAATTTGCCCCTCAGGTACTTCTTAAATCTATCCCCTCTCATCTTAAACCAATGCCCTCTAGTTTTCAATTCTCCATCCCTGGGAACAAGATTGTATGCATTCATCCTATCTATGCTCCTCATGATTTTATACACCTCAATAAGGTCACGCCTCATTCTCCTACGTTCCAAAGAATGAAGTCCTATCCTGACCAACCTCTCCCTATAACTCAGCACCACTAGTCCTGGCAACATGCGTGTAAATCTTCTTTGCACACTTTCCAGTTTAACTAAGGTCGGTCCAGACTAAAATTATTCAACTTGACCCAGCCTGGCATCAGACCTGGGAATTATAGATGTGTATGGCTGGGAGACTGAATCAAATTGTATTTCACCTCAACAAAAAATGGAAACTTAATAATTCTTTAGATCAGGCATAATTTGGCAAAGCAGGCTGAAATTTTCCATCGTTCGGACAATGCCACTGAGTATGAAAAGCATTTATGTTTGCACTACTGAAAGGTCTTTCGATTTATTCACTCAAAATGTCAACAAAACTAACGCAAACTGTCCTTCAATGGTTGTTAAAAGGCAGGGAACACTAACTGCCATACATGTTTCCCTGCACATCCAGAAATTTTTTAAAGGTTGAAAACAATGTTCATCTTTCCTTATAATAATCAACAAGCTGAGCTCCAAGGGTTTTGTTCAGTGATGTGTCGATTCTGCAGCACAGGTGTACAATTCAGTTGTTAACCTGGCCTGACCTTTTAAGGTTACTATTCAAATACTCCATTGAGGCTACTCACAAAATGACAGCTGTCTGTAAATTGCATGGGGTGTAACCTGGTGATTAAATTATTGATGTACTCCAGTCTTGAGGACAATTCACATCAATTAACATACTGTGATATGGTGTGTAGCCTATCAAGTGGAAACAATGCACACCACATACAAAGCTTTATATATCATGAATCTGTTGAGTGAATCCTTGATTGAAACAGCATCCAGATAACCTTTCACAGGCCCACAGATATGCTACAATTTTGTCTTTTCTCCGTTTCTTTCTCCATTTTATGCTAGCTTAATGCCACCTAAAGCTGCCTAGCTGGTTTTAGAGAGCAATCTGGATTCTCAACAACATCAGTGCATCATGGTAATATTACTACACTGTTAATTCAGAGGCCTGGACTAATGCCCTAGAGACAGGAGTTTGCAATCCCACCACAGCAGCTGGTAGAATTTAAACCCAATTAACAAAATCTGGAATTGAAAACTAATCTCAATAACGGTGCCATGAAACCACCAGCAATTGCCATAAAATACATTCTTGTTCTTTGGGACAAGAAGTCTGCCTAACCTGACCCACACAGGGCCCACATCATGTGTATAATTCTTAACTACTCTCTGAAATGCCCTAGGATGCCACTCAATTCAAGAGGTGGGCAACAAATACTGACCTTGTCAACGATCACCACATCTCATGAGATAATAATTTTTAAAAAAATGATGCATTTGGAATTGTTGTAAAGCCACCTGGCTTAAATTCACAAAGGGATTGCTGGCTTAAAAGCACAGCAGAGGCAATGGCCTAGTGGTATTATCGCTGGACTGTTAATACAGAGACCCAGATAACATTCTGGGGACCTGGGTTTGAATCCTGCCATGGCAGATGGTGGAATTTGAATTCATTAAAAATATCTGGAATTAAGAATCTAATGATGACCATGAATCCATTGTCAATTGTCAGGAAAAACCCACCTGGTTCACTAATGTCCTTTAGGGAAGGAAACTGCTATCCTGGTCTGGCCTACATGTACACCAACGTGGTTGACACTGAACTGCCCTCTGGGCAAATAGGGATGCACAATAAATGCTGCCTGGCCAGCGATGCCCTCATCCCGTTAATGAATTTTTAAAAAAGTGATGGCATACCCAACAAGCCAAATCTGATTGATAATCCTGACACCACACAAATTCCCTTTGGGTGATAGCGCCTGATGGATATTGTCATGATGATTAATTTTAAGTTCCCTATCCAATTGGACTCTCATACAACAAAGCAACCATTGCATTATCATTGTATTGGTGCTGCCACCAATGATGATTTTTCTAGCTCTCAGACCCAATGAATGATCATTATCATACCATTCTATAGGTTTTTTCTTCTCTTGTAAATTATGGAAGCCAAGTACCTTGATTGCTCCAGTAGAGATTTGTATTTCATGGAGTCGTCGCATGGTCCCATCACGGTCAATGAAGTAGGATGAGGCAAGTTGATGGAGGGCTTCCACACTTTGACTGGCATTTGCTGACTTTCTATCTAACTTACTTTTGTCCATGTACATGGTAAGTGCTTCTTCACCTGCAGGGAAAAGAACAATGGACACTTACAGTTACCAAACACAGGAACGGGGAAACAACAGCCAGTGATACCAAACAATAAAATCTTGATATACAAGACATGATGGATGATGGGAATTTATACAACAAATGGCCTGGTTCTGTGCCTTAATGCGCTATAATCCTGACATCATTTAGTAAATGCACTGCAGGTGGGGCGTGCAGTCAGCCAGCTCAGTGGGCCAATACAGAGTGACACCAACAATGTGGGTTCAATTCTTGCACTGGCTGAGGTTCCTATGAATGAATCAACCTCTCCCCTTGCCTGAGCTGTGGTGATTATTTCTTTTTCAATTTTAGCAGCAATGTTTAAACCACTTCTCAAGATAACCCATTGTTGAACATTTGAAGAAGTTAGAGGCATTCTCAAGATTTAGCCTTTTTTTCTGAATTAAAAGGTCAAGTGAAAACGTCACACTGCATAGTTTAAATCATAATAATTATAACCTTCTAGTAATAATTATAATAGATTATTCAAACCTAAATAAAAGATAACCTGGAAGATAAACTCAAGAGTGTTTAACAGACATAGTTCAGTGATCCCACAACCATTACCTAAACTGTGCAATCCTGCCATATCGAGTCATGAAAGTTAAGGGATAATTAAACTACAAAATTGTGGAGGCTCCACAAATATTTTCATCATCCATGATGGGGAAAGCCCAGCCATTCAGTGCAAAAGCACGAGCAACCATCTTCATCCAGAAGTGCTGAGTGGCCAATCTATATTGATCTCTTCCTGAGGTTCCCAGAATTTACAGGTATCGGTTGTCAATCAAATTGATTGAGTCCACCTGGAATAGCTACAAGCACTAGATATGGCAGTCACTTGAGACCTTGACAGTATTTTGGCAACACACTGAAGGCCTGTGATCTAGAACTAATTGTGCCCTTAGCTAAGCTGTTCCAGGACACCTACAAGACTGGCATCTCCTCGCAATGTGGGAAAACACCCAGAAACATCCTGTCCATGAAAGGTAAGGCAAAGCCAACTTGGCCAATTCCCACCATATCAGAGTACTCTCAACCACCAGCAAAGTGATGGAAGCTGTTATCGACAGTACTATCGAGCAGCACTTCTTCAGCAATAAGCTGCTCATTGACACTCAGTCTGGGTTCCACTATAGCCACTTACCTTATTACAGCCTCGGTCCAAATATTGGCAAATGAATTAAATTCAAGAGGAACAGTGAGACGTGACTGCCTTTGATATCAAGAGCACGTTTCACCAGCAATGACATCAAAGAGCCTAGGTAAAGTTGAAATCAACAGGAGTCAGGAGGAAAACTCAGTTACAGGTTCATTCTGACAAAAAGTTACTGGACTCGAAACATTAACTCTGTTTTCTTCTCCACAGATACTGCAAGGCCTGCTGCCCATCCAGGATAGAGTAGCCTACTTGATTGGCATTTTATCCACCACCAATGCACAGTGACAGCAATGCATAGCATCTACAAATGCACTGCAGCAACTCAACGAAGCTACTATTGCAACGAGAGGTAGTAAGGACTGCCGATGCTGGAGTTTGAGGTTACACAGTGTGGAGCTAGAGGAACACGACAGGCCCGGCAGCATCAGAGGAGCAGAAAAATGTTTCGGGTTGGGACCCTTCTTCAGAAATGCAATTCACAGTGGGGTTATAACTCACTCAGAAATAGTAAGAACTGCCGATGCTGGAGTCTGAGATAACACAGTGTGGAGCTGGAGGAACACAGCAGGCCAGGCAGCATCAGAGGAGCAG